AGATGCAATTCGTACACTAGCTACTTTCCAAAATCACTATGTTCCCAATCCTGTGAGTGACCATCCTTATCCTTTTCTTCAGTTTTCAAATAACCTCATAACTAGCATTTAGTGCATGAAGTTCATTGAGTGCTGTGATTCCTTTGTTCTTGAAGGTTTAATTTAGATTCCAATCATTCCATATTTGTTTGTCCTACTGTGCATTCTAGGTAAATCTTTCTTTTTGTTGGTATATGTTCTTCCTATAATATTAATTACTTTTTGCAACTTCTGTAGAGAAGTACAAGGCATTCTGTTAGACAGCCCCAGTTGAGATCTTCTCAGAACTCTTCAACTAGGAGAAGGAGCGGCCATCCTCGACAGCCTACTCATAGGATGTCACGTTTGGCAAACCGATTATCAAACCAATCTCGTGCTGCGTCATCCAGGGCTAGGAATTTCCAGTTTCCTTTGGGCATGGATTTAGATACAGTAATCCCCACTTGTCTGTTTCTCTGTTTTCTTGTGTTCTTTTCCTCTTCTTCCCCCCCTCCCCCCTTCTTTTTCCTTTCCAGACTTGATGTAATTGTTTGCAAGTTGATCATATATTTGAAGTTTATTGGTATTAATGAGTTGATAGGACATAGGAGGTTGATATGTACTGAAAACTTGTTTTCTTGCCTTCTGGCACAGAGACTTGATATACTGGAAGCCTTGGAAGCCGCAGCTGGGGATCTCAGCAATATAGGGCCAGTTAGTGGCATCCTTCATGCTCAGCGTGATTTCAATGAGTAAGTTTTATTCTAAATTGTCAATTAAACCACATTCTTTTGTTGATCCATTTAGGTGATTTCAATATGCATTTATCAAGGGCCTTTTCCTGTTAAGTACGTTTTTTACATTATTGGTTTGAATGGGCAAAACAATATAAGTACAGACTGGAGGAAGTAAATCCAGATGCAAAGGAAAAAGAAACCCACCCCCCCCCAAAAAAAAAAAAAAGAGGTGCATGAGCACCAAAAAGGTAGCCCTAGAGAATCTTATTTTTTTATTTTTTATTGGCTAGAATAGACAACATATTTACACCCACATGAGATCTTCTCATAATTTTGTTATTTCTATAATCAACCATATTGTTCTTTTTTCTGTTGGCTTCTCCCTTTATTAACCTCTTATATGCTGTGTTCAATCATCCAATTTCCAATATGATTGAGAGGGTTAATTTTGGAAATAAATGTGAAGTTTTATGTCTTGCTCCTTTGTTGTTTTCTTGCAGAAATGATTATGAAATGTTATTGGCATTAGATGAGAACAATCATCGACATGGTGGTGCATCTGTTCGCCAGATAAATAATTTGCCACAGTCAGTAGTGCAGGTATATGTCTGGATAATGCTCTTTTTCTTTTCTTTTCTTTCTTTCTTTCTTCCTTTGTCTTCTTCTTCTTCTTCTTCTTCTTCTTTCCTTTTTTTTTTTTCTTCTCTTTTTTTTTTAAAGTTTTCTCCTTGAGTATAAATAGTTGAGTTGGTTGTTTCTATTCATTTGCTGATTATTATTGGCTTTTGATTTTCCTTTTTAATGCAGACTGATAATTTTGAAGAAGCTTGTGCTATATGTCTTGAAACTCCAGCTGTTGGAGACACCATACGTCATCTTCCTTGCCTACACAAGTTTCACAAAGATGTAGCTTCCCTTCATTATTTTCTTCCTTGTTCTATTGGTTATTTTATAATATAATCTAACAAGATTCAAATGCTTCTTCATCTGAATGTGACAGTGCATT